GGTATGTTTGTTGCGGGGGGAGACGCTGCCCTTGGTGATTGTTGCTGCTTTCCTCAGGTGTCGGGGCCGGTGCCGGCAGCGCTCAGGCCGTCAGGCACAGAACGGCGCCATTCTGGCTGATAAAAGAGTAAAGAGGAGGAGAACCGAGAGAGATAGCCTTTGGAAGCAGTGTGCAACCTGCGAGGGGGACACTGCAGGGGATGCCTTAAGAGAAGAAGAAGAAGAAGAGAATAGTGATAATAAGGGAAAGAAAGGACTGAGAAGCAGAGCTGGAGCTGGTGAAGAAGAGAAAGGATTTGTTTCAGGCATTGCCAGTGGAGGTCCTTGCCCGGATTGAGCAGAGTCTGGTTATTACAGGAGTGATACAACTGTCACGGCAGCTCTCCAGCACACAGAGCAAATGTGCTGTGGGAGAGTAAGTTACAAAGCTACAGCTGGCCTTCTGTCTCCTTCCTGAATCTTGTTCCAGTGCGCGTTGGGCTGCAGGGCTTGCTACCGCTGCTAGTCACTTGATGACTTCCTCAGTGAGTGGGACCTGCTGCCTGAGAGGTGTCTGGTGACGGCACCGTCCTTCAGGATTAGATGGCATCTCTGCTGGAGCCCCGCTCAGATCCAGGCACTGGCTCACAGCTGCATTGCTGTGCTCCTGAGCATGTTTTCCCAGGGAAAATAAAATCTTTCTTCCTTCCAGCCCCCCATCTTGTCTGTTACAGCACCATGCCATATTTATGATATCCAGAATGTTTTAAAAATTGGGGTTTGCTTTGGGTCTAGCCATGTTGCTGTTTTGCTTTGGTTATACGTGTTTGTAAAATTAAGAGGTGGTTTTTATTTTACTTTCAGCATCCAAACAGCTGCAGACAGTAAAACACACAGTGACCATTCCCCTGCCCTTTCTCGCCCTGTGTGTGCGTTGCTGCTGCTTAGGCAGGCAGAGCGGGTGCCTGCAAAGCTGAATTCATGCACGCTCACTTACTGCAGGGTGGGTGCTGTCCCAGGCACTTACACGTAGTTCTTTCAATAACTTAGTAAGTAAAAATTACATCATTTAAAATATGGTCACACGCCAAAGGCCATTCTTGTTATTGACTGGTGAGTGCTAGTCTTGCGTAAAATTGATGATGGTCAGCAGAGCACACAAAGCCAATGTCACAGAGAGAGGCACAGCTTTGCTGTTGCAGATTTGATGTGTCTTTCACTAAGGCAAGTTTCAACATTTAAAGGCTGTTCAATCCAATTCTCTGGTATTTTGACCCCTGATATGATTCTTTCCCTCTTCAACTGTCTGTCTTTCAGCCTTCATGTCTTTATGTATTTTCTTGGGTGAAATTTTAATGACTTTCCATTATCTACATGACTAATAAAAGATATCTAGCTGTAATAGAGAAAGGTAAGACATGACAAGAAGACTTAAGTCCTCAGCAAAGAGTTGAATATGTTCAGCAGAGTTACTGATACCTTGCTGCAAGCACCCTTGTCCTTCTGGTTTCTCATCTTTAAATTTCCTTCTTTTGCTTCTCGCTGTGGTGCCTGACCCTTGTTTATGGCTGTTGATCGTTTTCCTGCATTTCCAAACATTTCCTGACAATGAACTTCCCTTCTTGCTTAATCTGAATTTTTGCTCTCTCCTCCCCTCCTGGGGGGGTGGTGAGTCTGAGGGGCATTTCAGCAGTGTGAACTTGTTAAAAAGACAGCAAAGTGGGATGGCGGGGAAAGAGCCGTGAAAGTGTTAGGGTTTGAGTCTAACACACAGAATGGGTTTGTTTGTAGCCCCCTTCTGCTGTGTCTCATAGCTTGTTCCAGCAGAGCGGGATGAGAGCAGTACAGTGAAACAGGACATCCTCACCTCCTTGTTTCTGGAGTGAAATGAAGGGTAGTTGCTTGCATGCATTTAGACTGAAGTTGTATTTTGCTTTTACACTAAAGATTTATCTACATAAAGCTCTGTCTAGTTTTTGGCAGAGATCTCTATGTGTGAGGAACATCTCTGGTTGTATCCTGTGGGTACATGCTTTTCAGTATAGTCTGAGACCAATGTGTAGACGTGGAGCTGGCAGAGAACCGGCTTTTTTATGGACAACACGTGAGCTTCACTGAGCACTAAATTAACTGCATTGTATAGTTGTGCCATTGACTGGTGAACATACTGGTGAAGTATCGAGTCTTTTGTATTGTTTTTAAAATTGTTTATTAAAACAGTGTTTAAAAAAGTCATTGCAAAGTCAGCTTCTGGTGCAAGCTTCATAGCGTGTATCTCAATTTGGACTTTTGGCAGCTGTAGCTCCTGCCTGGGCCCACCCTCGTTGCCGCGCAGTGCTGATCGTGGCTTCTTGGGTTCCTTGTGTACCCCAAGGCTTTTTGCCCAGCCAGTTCAAGTCTTCTCCCCGTCTTATCACCAAACCAGATTCAGTCCTGCCTGCATCAGCTCCCTTTGTGAGCCTGTGCTCACCAGCAGCCCCAGCTCGGACTCTTTCTTCCAGTTTTTGCCCGCTGCTCTCATGCAGCATCAGATAAGCCCTTTTTCCTCCTTGATTTTATTGCTCAGCTGGTCCCCATTTCTCTTTTCTCAGCATCCCAACTATTACCCATCTAATCACCAGCTGGTGGCCCCATTTCTTGTCCAGCCTTGGCTTTCTGCTCTTCCCACAAAATCTACCCACGCACTCCCTTTTTCTCCCCTGCTGATTCAGAGTCCTCTTCCAGAGTTGACTCAAGTTCTGATTTCACGAGGCATCATCTTACTGTGATCCTCTCTTTCCTCTTTCTGGTTCAACTGCTCTTGCCCTTACACTTGAATCAACTGGTGCCTTTGCATACAGTCCAGTTGAATTAGCAGAAAAACATTCTTCTGCTCTCAGTCCTGTGGTGACGTGGAACAACTGCTTTGGGGAATGTCTGGCTGCCCTGTAAGCCCAGGATGGAGTATGGCAATCTGATCTGGGGACACACAGCTTGGGAGAGGCTCCTATGTGTCAGGGAGGGCAGATAGCTCACCCCAGCACGTGGCTGGGGCAGCGGCGATTGGCTCTGGTTTGTAGTCAGAGTTTATCTGAAGGTAGGTTCTTTTAGCTTTGCAGACAGTTATTGGACTATTGGAAATTGATTTCACTTTATTTTATTAAAAATCTGACTTTAAGCTGTTAGGTGTTTAAGCAGAATCTTTTCATCTCACTGTGTGGATAAAATGGGGAAAGTATTCCTGTGTGACTCTGCTTCTGCCTAGAAAGCAAACGAATCAAGGGTTTTCTTAGCTTGAGACAACCCCTAAAGCTGAGAAGCAAAGTTTGACTTGGGTATCCCAATTCTGGTGCCTGTCTGGGGTCCCTGTGACGTCCCGGGAAGCAGCTGGGATGGGCTGCGTGACGTGCCAGGGAGGCTCTGCTGTACTCAGTAGTCATCAAGTCCCTTGCAAACAGTTATCTGTATTTTGAACTGCTTTGGGGTCGTTTATTCTCACCTGCCCTGGAAGGGGAAGGCAGCTAGGTTGCTCTCAGGATTAGGAGTTTTTCACGTTTCTAGCCTAACTTTATTCTAGAATGTCTTACAGTTGCTAATTATTGTGTCAGAATTTACTTTGAGTATAAATAGTTTGATTGTTGTCCCTGGTGCTTAGTGTCTTTCTTGATGCAGTTACAGCTTTTTTAGTTCCTATCCTAGAGGGGACCCTGCATTTTCCTGATCACTCAAGAGCCTTTCTCTGTACATCTTCCAGCTTGACTTAATTTATCTTGCACAGGGATGACCAAGACAACCACTGTGTCTCAGAGACACAGCAGTGCGTTTGCAGCTTGTGTTAACACATGCACCGTGGAGGTGTGCTGGAATCTGCCTGTTTAATCAAGCCAGTGAAGGGCTTAAACAAAGACAATTGTGGAGACAGTGAGTTTTTTGTCTTTTTTCTTTTTTCCCCCCCACTTATTAGAGCACAGTTCTGTAGTCCCAGCTCCCCAGCAAATGCATACTCCAGGAGCCTTCTGCCTGTATTTATGCTGATCATTTGTACCACCGAGACGGAGCTATAGTCAAAACTAAAGATGCCACTCTTCTTCCGTAAGAAGAAACCCAGTGATGATGCTCGGAAGCGCCTTGAATACCAGATGTGCCTGGTAAGCAATGCCGAGGTCTTTTCTGTTCTCTGTGTTTAGTCCTGGGTGCCAGGTGAATTGGAACATACCAGTGATCATGTTACTGATCTCACCAAGACAGCAGGTCATCTTCCTAATGTACATCAGAGAATTACTGCTTTCGCCGTCGCCCTCTGCCCTCCCATCCACAGGTCCCCTTTGTGCCACTTCCATCCCTCTGCTGCTGTGGTTCCACGTAACGTCTTCCACCGCCCCACCAGCCTGCATATGGGACCTCATCCCTCCTGTCTCCTCCATGCCCCTTCACTCTTACGGATCTCCCAGTTTGCTTTTCCTACCAAGGAACATGTGACATCCCCTTTCCCATTATAATTGGCTTTCCTTGGGCTCCTCTTTTGCTCTTATTGTTATTTCATTTCTACCTGTCACTCAAAAGATTAACTTGTTAGAAGCTGCTGTTTGTTTTCCTGGACTAGGATTTGGCCAGGATCCTCTGGGGTAGATCCTCAGCTGGTTGCTGTCACGCCAGCAAGGTCAGCAGAACTACCTGCCTTGCAGCAGCCAGAGATTTAAAGCTGGCTTTCTGAAAGCAATCTTCTTTTGAAGTATTTCACCTATTCTGCTGTATGAGCTGTGGATAAGTGCTGGTATAGGGGATCTGCTGTGCTCTACCCCAGAGGCACCTGCATTTTAAAAGTGGCAAAATTATATTTGTTGGATGTCTGTAAGGTATTTTGGAAGTTAAGGCTTTGTTATGTACCAATAACTTAACCAGTTTTATTGAATTTATTCAGTTGAAGGGTTTCTGTTCAGCTCCTGTGGGGCTGGGGAAGGATAGCTTTATCTGCCCATTCTAGGATTAGTTCTGTCTTGCATGTGCTTAGTTTAGGGTCAGGATATCCATTTCTGAAGACTTAACAGAGGCACTAACACAAGCAGGTTTTATTCCTTATGCAGTGTCTTTTATTTAAGAAAATAATTCCAGAGATGCAGTGCTGCTCACGGTGAGGTTTGACCAGTTCCATTGCTGTTAGCAGCTGCATTGGATGTGGTTGATTTGAACATGGAAACCCACTTTTGTGCAGTTCCATTGCTGTTAGCAGCTGCATTTCCATTTGAACATGGAAACCCACTTTTGTACAGAAGCAGTGAGTCCTTGCTCCTTCTCACACAGCAGAGCTGGCCTGCAGGTCCCGTGGATGCAGAAAGGCAATAGTAGGTTGTTTTGGTTTCTGTATACAGTTCAGAAGGCTGTTCTGCTGGGTGAGACATGGCAATGATACAGCAGGCTTTCTACCATCAAGGGTGGCGCCGCTGTTGTTCCTAGGAGGTGCCTCTCTTGAGAACTTGTCATTTCCTTTCCATATCTTTTCAGTTAAAATTGCAGAATTAGGATGTGCTTTGGTTCTTCGTGCAGAAATTAATTTATTGCACCGAAAGGGTTTTTCTGCAGTTTGGTTTCCTGGTTGCTTTTGCTTGCTGCAGTTGTAGCAGCACACCTTTTACTTCTAGCGTTGTCATTGAATTACATAGCTGTGGCAGAGAACTGTAATTGCATTTTCTAGGGGGTGGCAGTTGAGTAGTTTAGTCAATATGCAGCAAGAGGCCGTGTATGTCTGCATGGTCTAATCTCTGGATGCTTATCTTCTCTCTCCAGGCAAAAGAAGCTGGTGCTGATGACATTCTTGACATATCCAAATGTGAACTCTCAGAGGTATGTTCTCCACACCTTCCAGTATCAGCTCACAGGTCTGAGTTCTCTGTCTGCTTCTTGTTGCCAACTGTCAGATTTAGTATCATGTCTATGAGCCTTGAGACGAAAGGGCCTTGTTACTGGTCCACTTCTTCCTATACCTGCTGAGCTCTGGCTTTCAGGTGAAGGCTTCTTCCCCTTTTTTTATTGTGGGAGATTGCCTGTTCTACCTGATGCTTCAACAACGTTTCTGTCCTGGGAATCCTTTTTCGTTTGACAAGGTGGGAAGGGCAGAGTACCCTCCACCAGTACCTTGGTAGGACACTAGTTTGGGACCTCATAGTCTAATTGTGTGAGTCAGAAGGGAATTTGTTTGCCAAAGGCTGACTGTTTCTAATCTTAGAGCTACAAAGTCTGCCACCTGCGCTTATTTTTCTGTATAAGTGAAAATCCCTGGTTCCAGGCTGCGGGTTAAGGATGGAAATCTCACTTCCAGCTTGGCTTCTTCTATGGCAGCCATCTAAACTAGAAACAAGCTGTCTGCTGGAGTGCAAGCGGTTAGTGACAGATTGCCAGGCTCTCAGAGGAGACACAGCTTTTCATTCTGGCAGCCAGGCAATCCTGTTAAGCAGAAGCCCATTTCTATTTCGCTTTCAGTTTTTATTCATTGTCCTGTGTTTCTAAAACACGTTGGTACCTGTGTGACCTTTTGTCACAGGATGCCTTTGTCAAACAAGCTAATAGATATTGCACTGCTCTTTGGGGAGAGATTTGGGACCATCCTGGAGAGCACAGCTGTCTGCTGTGCAGTATGAAATGGCTTTGCTGAGACTTTGGGATGTTTTGTTCCAATATCAGAAGCCAACGGCATCTTGTGTGTAGGTTTGTGAGCTGTGTGGGACAGTCTGGGTAAAGGGGTGGCAGACAGGATGCACTGAGCCAGCTCCATTCGTAGCCGCAGCTGGTCTTGGATCCCCAGCAGCTCCTTTTGGATTGGTACCATAAAACTCTGTCTTGCAACAGAGCTAAACAACTTTAGCCTTTGTTGTTTCAATAAATAAAGTGAGCCATCAGTTTGGTCTTAAAATTAACTCTGGACAAGAGTTCGGCTGGTGCTGTTCCATGCTGCAGAGCAGGTCACGGTGCTGAGCCGTGGCTGGCATGGGCTGAATTTTCTGGCATATCCCTTTTCCGACTGCCCCTCTCCCGCAGAGCCTAGCACATATAAGGACATTCAGTCCTGCCTGTTGCTCACCTTTCTCATTTAGCCACCGCAGTGTGTTTGCCGAGGTTGCAAAACCATAGAATACATTTGTGTGATGACTAACTGAAAATATGCCTGAACTCTTGAGTCATCTGCATGATGAATATTAAATCACGCAAGACTTGAACTTCTGCCTAAACCTCAGTCTGTTCTGCGCTGTGCACGACACTGCCTGTTGTGGAGAGCCATTGCGAGCTGTTTAGATGGAAGCTGAGCGGGAAGTACTGGCATCCTGGGCCAAAACCAGGGGCCAGTAATTTTAAGTATCACTTGTGTTTTCATTAAAGTTAGTTATTCACACTTTACAGGTGGATACTGTAGAAGCGCTTACAAAGATAGTATCTTGAGAAGTCTGACATGACTGTTTTTTAATTGTTTCTAGGTTCCTTATGGGGCCTTTGCAACTTGTAAGGTCTTGCAAAAAAAGGTAATGTTGCAACCAGAAATTATTAGATAATACTATTATTATGCTTGAGTGTTATTGTTGTGTTTGAGATGGCTGTATGTGGCTGTTTATATGTTGCTTCAGCAGAAGTTTGCTTGTAATGAATTTGGCCACTTGCACGATACCACGTAGAGAGCAATTTGGGTAGGACTACTCCTGTGTGTGTGCTTTAGAGCTAACTTCTGTCATGAAAGATGAGACTTTTTTTTCTATCTTAGCCTATCTAATGATACCTCTCATATAAGAAAGTAGGCTCTTGTTAAGATCTCATGTAAATGTTTGACCTTCCATGAAAATCCGTTTACTATTTTAATATTTTATATGATTCTGAATAAGATGTTGAGCTCTCATACAGTCGTCGCAATTAAATCTCAACAACCATGCTTGTTCTAGACAGCAGTGTCTCTTGTGTTCATGTTTCCATGGGATTTTTCCTCCTCAGGTGCTGATTATTCATACAAATAATCTGACATCTTTAGTTCCAAAGTCCTGCAGCCTCCTGAGTCTCATAACCGTAAAGGTAATTATGATTCTTAACAGTTAATCTGAAGCCTATTTTCCTTGCATTCTAGCTTCATTAAAGCACACTAGCCCAAATAAATCCCTTCTGTCTGCCTGACTTCACCAAGAGTTGGTGAAACCTGCCTTTCCTAGGTTTACCTGCCAGGTAGACAGCAGTTTCTTTAAAATCGTAATCAGTCCCAGGACTCATTTATCCTCTTCACAATCCCACACTTTCCCCCTCAACAGCCTCTCACGGTGGTGGTCAGTCAGGGCTGCGTGTGTTGTGGGGCAGATTGTCTCTCTCCTGTGCTGGTGGGTCATTTGCATGGGAACGAAGCTGGTGATGGGTGACGGTGCGTGATGGGCTGTATTGCCATACCTGTCATATAAGCACTGAGGACTTTCAGCTCCACCACCCTTGTGCTGTGGTTCCACAAGAGGCAGAGTCATTCCAGCATCTCACTTCTCCCCATGGAGGGAGGTCTCCAGGCATAGTCCTGTCCTCTCCCTGTGCCAGTGGTGGTTTTGGGGCAGTGTAGCTTCCATGGAGCAGTTCAGTTCACTGATCTTGCAGAAAATGTCTTTTTCTGCGAGGCTGGCTCCATGGAGATGATTTATCCAGTTGCCTCATCCAGTTTTGTGGAACACCTTCCTTGGTGTTGCTGCTCTCCCTAGTCTTTTGTTTGTCAATGTATAGAGGCTTGAGTTTTCAAAAGACCTCCAAGAATTAAGTGGCTCTGTCTCCTTGAAAACTTAAGCTGCTTTTCAAAGCCCCATGGGAAGGGAGGTAATTTTCATTGCTAGGTAATTAACGACCTTTCATTCTTGCTCCATGACTTCTTTTACCAACCTTGTTTGGTGAAATCATCTGCTCTTCCAGGTTCTAGACCTGCATGACAACCAGCTGGCATCGCTTCCGGCTGATATTGGTCAGCTGACCTCTCTTCAGGTAACAGATTTACAGCTGCATCCCATGTGTCTGTAAAGAGGACGTTACAGGACAGCATGAATATGGGGTTACTGCTATTTGTTTTCAATTAATCACAACTTAAATTATGGTCCTCAGAACGTCAGGTCTATCTCATTGACTTGACTGTCACTGTTGAATTGGCTTGTTGGACAGGGTGAGCAGGAGAAGAGCAGGAGAAGAGCAGGCACGCTGAGTGATAGAGACCCAGCTTGGTGCAAGGGCTGTCACTCCGAACGGCTCACGCTGCCAAGCAAGTGCTGGGAGCAAGCAGAGCTGGAGCTTCAACTCCCATTGATTTCCCAAAGCGCTCAGGTTTTAGCATTCTCCCTGGTGCGATCATGTTGAGAACTCAGTGCAGTGGGTCATAGTGCACACTGAGGGTCCTCTCTGCTCGCAGTGCAGCTTTTGGCTCAGTCACCGCTCCCCTGTGGGAGCCGGGGAGGGGGAGCGCTGCCCTGGAGGGGAGGACACTGCCTCCCAGTTCCTGCGTCTGGGTTCAGCACCTACTGCTGCGGTTGGCGGTGAGTAGGGTTTCTCGCTGCATGTGGTAGCTAGACGTACCCTCTAGCCAGGGCTTCTGGAAAATATTTTTTTTTAAACCCCAGAAGTATTGTCTAAAACTAATTTCAAGTTGCCCTTCTGGGCCTGAAAGTAGTACCAACAACAAAGATGTGTAGAAGAATCTGAGACTTGTATAAAGAGTGTCTTGAATATCTTTTCTGTTAATACCTTAGGTCCTAAACCTTGAAAGGAATCTTTTAAAATGTCTTCCACAATCTATAGGAGACCTTGCCCAGCTCCAGATGCTCAATGTGAAAGGTATGACACACTTTTCTTGTCAGTGCTCTGGGCAAAGCGCCATTTATTATTTGGGTTGTGTTGAGCTGCATTAGTAATTATTCTTTTCAACCAAGGCAAGCACCAAGTGATTTACACTATGAATGCCAAGGAAGAACACAAGAAAGATTTGAATTCATATAGTTGGCAAGGCAGGAGAAATCATCTAAGCTAAAAATGATTCCTAAAAATTCCCTGAGTTATTATCTGGGAGAAAAAGGACACTTTGCTGCAGGGAGTTGTTGCTGAAATGGGGAAGGAAATAGAAGGTGAGGAACTTGAAGTACAACTTAGTTCATTGCCATATCTGTCTGCAGCACCTGGCCTCTGAGCCCTAGTGTGCAGTCCCACACTCAGTCCCCTTTCTCCCATCTCTGGTACTTACGCCAAGGGGAAGAATCATAGAATCGTTATGGTTGGAGGAGACCTTTAACATCATCAAGTCCAACCGTTAACCTAGCACTGCCAAGAAGACTCCATGTTACAAACATTCTCCTGATAAAGAGCACAGCTCAAACCTGCAGCAGTGACCTCAGCTAAGAATGTCCTTTTGGAATAAAGAACCACTGCTGGGCCTGCGCACTTGGGCTGTGTGCAGGTAGATCTTGATGCCCTTTTGCCTTGGTGGGCAATGGCAGCCTTTGGAGTTCTCGTGTGACCCATGGCAGCCTCGTCCCTGTAGTAGACTATGGAAAGTGTTTCATACGAATGATTATGGTTTGGTGTTCCAGCAGATGAACTTGCTGGATCCTGCTTTGGAAAAGTTATGTGGCACTGAATAGCTTTTCTCTCTCTCCAGGGAACAAGCTGAAGGAGCTGCCTGCTACTGTGAGTGGCTTGCGGAGTTTGCGCACTCTGGATATCAGTGAAAACATGCTGCAAGAACTGCCACGGGTGCTGGCTCACATTCGCACGCTGGAGGTACGCGCCCAGCCAACTGTGTCTGTCTCTCCCCTTCACAGGCTGCAGGCTGCTTCCCTTCCTGCTTGCTCAATACGATAATAAATTTAGCATAGAAAGTGAATTTTTAGGGCTTGGAGAGGACCCGCTGTGGAGGATTGTTAACAAGGCTATATGCAGTTCATGGTGTCTAAAATAGCTTTTGCGTACCCTTCCTGCGTTAGTCTTTTCTGACCACTTTTTGCCATGGCTTAATCATGACAAAACTAATTCACAGGGAGTGAACCCCCAGGTGTTACGTGCCAGGGCTGTCTCTGAGAGCACAAGCTGTGCCTGTGGGCTCGGTTTGACTCAGGCACTTTCCACCAAGGCTGATTCTAAATGAGCAGATGGGATATTTCCGATGAGGTTTTTGCCTCCGTTGCTGTGGCAGATCTCTGACTCATTGTCAGCCTCCGTGGGTTTCTGGCTCCCTGGAGTGCACATTCGAAATGGGACAAGCATCAAGACTTTTATGGATGTGTTACCTTCCGGCTGCCAAACTTGTCAGTAGTAAATGGTGCAAATGTCAGGCAACAGGGCTGACTCACACACCAGCATGGAGGATGCAAATAATTGCTCTCCGGTCTTGCTGTCTCGAACACACTACATTAGGCTTCACTTCTCTTGTGGGCAGTCTCTGAGATGAGGGATCTGTGCAGTTTGCTCTCCTGTCCTTGATAAAGTGGTTCCTTTCTAGGCTTTCCTGCTAAGCCCTTCTCTACAGGAGGCAAAATTAGGTCCTTTTGGTGGCTGCAGTAGGACAAAACAGCAAGTGGTCCTTCCATTCATTCTTATGGTACCCCTCTTCTCTCTGTGCCCTTTGTATCACCGTCCCTTCCATGCATCACACTTAAGGGCTCCAGCATACCGATATTTAGTAGAAAATTTCTGTAACTGAATAGTGCCATGCCCTATTCTGCTTAAACACAAAGGAGATGTGTCTGCACAAGTGGGATGTTCTGCTGAAGGACCAGGACAGAAGTTCCCAAATAGGGGATGGCGGAGTCACCTCTGAAAGGTGTCCAACACCCAGCAGAAATTCAATACTACCTTGTATTTATGTCAGGATTTAGGGTAACATGAAGTTAACACTCCATAAGTGAAATTTTGGGGAGCTGCAAGGATAACTGCAGTTGGACTTTGTCTGGGCCATCAGAATAATGTGGAGTTCTGTGTGTTCTCTTTTGGAGACGCTTACCCTGGATGCCTCTTCCATGACCTACCCATCAGCTGATATTTGCAGTGCAGGTACAGAGTCCATTCAGCAGTTCCTCTGCAAAGGTAAGCAAGAAGAGTCTGTGGGTGGTAGTGAGAACTTGGGGGGCTGTGCTGTGCTGTGTCTAGGTGCTGTGGCATGTTTGAAGGTTGCGTTTATGAAGGACAATTGCATTTTTGGGTACAAGTTACTCCTGGGGAGATTCCAATTGGACACAAGAGGAAATTTTTTTGGAATGAGAACAATCAGTTATTGGAATAATCTCGCCAGGGAAGTGGTGGATTCTCCAACATCAGACACCTCGAAGATTCGGCTGGACGGGGTGCTGGGCCATCTTGTCTAGACTGTTCTTTTGCCAAGAAAGGTTGGGCCAGATGATCCTTGAGGTCCCTTCCAACCTGGTATTCTGTGATTCTATGATTGTTTCTATGACAAACATCAGATTGGCTCTGCTTGGGGTGGTTTCTGACAGTCTGCATGCATGGCAGGCTGATCAGTGAGTTTTATGTCTTTGCTGGCAGACAGCAAAACAGGAGTCCTTCTTTGAGACTTGCTTCTTACTGTCCCACTGAAATGTATAATGGTTTTGCTAAAACATCAGAATAGCTGGGTCAGAGACTGCCTGAGTGACTGTAAGAAGCCATTGCATCTCTTTGTGGTTTTGTTTTCTCATTTGTATTTTCTCAAGTGGGAGGCATTGTCCAGCTAGAGCTGCCTTGGGACAAGGAGGTAGACTCAGTAGTCACTCGAGGTCCCTTCTATCCTCATTTTCTATGAGAAGGGACTTGGGGGCTGCAGACTGATGGTTTGTTAAGAGAAAGATGGAACCACATGGAAGAAGCAGAAGGCAAAGATAATGTACTCTGTAAACACTGAGTTTAATATAGACAGGCAGGTTTGGTAGACGTTCTATGCAGGGGAGATGCCTTGCCAGACATTGTGCTAATCCCTGAAATAAAAGGAGAGTCAGAGCTTAGTTTAATGTGGGCAGTAACATTTGCAGCCCTGCAGAAGTCAACATGCCTGTACCCGTCTGAAGGAAGCGTTTCTCTCTGAGCAGGTTAGCTTTGATCATCTTCCTGGTGGGAACGGGGTGGCACTATCTCTTCTTGTTGCTAAACCTGCCTGAGCAGAAGGAGCTCTTTTGGGCACTCGTCTATGCATGGGGAGAGGGAGCACAGTTGGGAGCAGTCTCACACGCCAGTCAGTCCTCGACTGTGCTGCTGAGGAGGTCTTTAAGCACCAAATGTTCTTGTTTTGTGTCTGATACCTTCCAGAGTGTGGAATTGAGTACTACCGTCCCTCGCAGTATCTGCTCCCCACGCTGGAGAGTGATGGAGGAGGAACATCAGTGGATGGGGTGGACAGGGCAGTGCATAAGTACTTGGAGGAGGAGAGCGAGTGGCAGGTGAGGTTCCACTGTGTGTGAAGTTGTGTGAGAGGATTTTGGATTTGTCTCTCCACTCCATCAATGGATCTCATAGTACTTAGCACATCATCCCTCATCACCTTGTCGCCCGTGAGATGTGTCTGTTGGGACCAAGAGAGCATCAGTGCCCAGAGCCAGCCATAGCACTGTGGGCGTGGGTGTTTCATCACCTTCCTGAGAGTTGAATATGGTGTTACCACTGCTGACTCCTGTAAGACACATCACAAAGAACTGTCTCCATCGTTTAAAGCAATGGTGCAGTCAAGGGACAGGGATGACAAGGTGACACGGTGTGTACTGCATGGTAGCACATGTGTTTTTCAGCAGGGCAGCAAACTGCAGAACCTTGTGATTCCCAGCCAAGTGTCCAGCCCTACCCGGGAAAGGTGAGGCTGGGCACCTAGTAAGGATAAGCTGTGCTAATTCCTGTGCTGTTTAGAAAGTACAGAGTAAATTTCTTTGACCCTGGAGAAGCATGAATGATGGGACTTTGTGGCTATGTTAATCTTCTTGTGCCTTTGGTTAATTTCTTTACTCAGTCAGGGGAAGATATGATGTAGGCTAATAATATCTAAAAAATATTGCTCCTGGGAGTAAATGTCTGCTGATATTGCTTATTTTTCAGAACAAATTCTTGGATTATGAGAAGAGGAAGGTAAGGATGAACCCCTGCAAATGCTTCGTCTGCAGAATAGCTCCACTTTTTTTTCTTGTTTTCCCTTTATCCAATTTCTCAGCCAAACCTGAATGTTTTGAGAACTGATTTCTCGCAGAACCCCCTGCCCCGAGCTGCTCACTCCTCAGTGCGACTGAGAGCGTGGGGGAATCTGTGGCTGACTTGGCTGACACACACAGCTGATGAGCTGCAGTCTCTCTCGTGAGCGAGCAGTTCCAGTTTAAATTGGTCAATGTTTCCACAGTTGGATCTGGGGGCTTTCACACCAGGTGGCTTTTTTGTTGCCTCTCTGTGCTGAAAGCTCAGTTTGTTTTTTGCATGAGGTGGGCAGACGTGTGTGAGCTGTCCGTGCACGGACTGCTCAGTAGAGCCCTGCCCTGAACTCCGGCCCCTCCCAGACTCCTACCTCGGCCCTTTGGCTCATAGTGCTACTGTTCTCTCTCCTAGCGTTCCTTGTTTCTGTCCTCACCTGGCTGCATTTTTAGTTTGCTTTTCTTTTTATTTCACTGGTCTCCATCTCCTCCCCCGTGCAAGGCTCACTTTGAAATAATCAGAAGGTCCTGTCATGCAGTTCACCTCTCCCTTTGGCTAGAGCTGCTCGTAGTGAGCTGCTGCCTTCGCTCTGTTGTCTTCGGACAAGGGAGACCCCTTGCCATCTGGAATCGAACACAACCTTAATTTTGGGCTTCCCTCTGGGTGTGTGTACTAGCTGCTTCGGTTGTATGGGTTGATGCCCAGGGACTTCGGCGTCATGACTGCGAAATGAGTTGTGGGGAGTTTGGAGACTGTTATAAAGAGAGCAGCAGCTTCTGCTTCACAATTTTTGGGTTCCTAAGGAGAAAATGTTTCCATCCCCTAGTCAAGCCTCCTGTTAGCTGTTTGGCTTGCTTTCTTGTAGTCGAGGGGATTACTGTGCCTTGTTTTAAGTTTTTGACAGAATTTGTTCTTGCTTGGGAAGGAGCGGAGCCAGCAGTCTACTGATTTCTGGCATTCATCTTTCTTCTTATTTCTCTCAGGAAAAAAAAATGCAGGAGAAGCTGGAATTTGAGCGGC